ACAGCATGAGGGTTCAGGTTGAGGGAAGAAGCAGCGTGAGCGCTGCCTTTAGCTTTTTAGCTAGCACACCTGTATTGCGTGCTGCTAGCTTAGCGCTACGTCAGTGCCACCAGGGGTGTTCGTGCGTGCACAGTTTGTTTCAGTAGGTGGGGCGCTCGGTACTGTTGACAGGGCGGTATGCCCTGCTTGTATAACGGTAGGGGAAACGCTAGCTTTAAACGTGTAACCAATGTATCCCTTGTAGTTTTCCAAATATGAATGACCTCAGATTAAAGATCCTCTTTGTGGTTCAATATTTTTTTAAACCAAATGCAAAGTTGCTTTGAGTCATCATCACTCTTTCAATTGGATCTGTGTTAGGGGTGTACGGATAGATCGTCCGACCGATTTATCGGCCCCTATTTCCTTAATTTTGGGAAATCAGCCGATACTTGCATGAGAAACCGATTTGACCATTTTTTTTTTTTTAAACAACAATTGTCTGAACTTCATGTATATTTCAGAGCACTACCTCATGGCCAGTTAAAATTTGTATTGTTTCTAGGATATTGTTCAAGGGTATGTTTTCAATAAATTAAGATTGGAAAATTGAAGGTGCATTGTGACCTTATAACACCTGACAGTGTCGCTTATAAAACAAAATCGGTATCAGCCAAAAATCAGAATCAGCAGGTCAGACTTTTTAGAAATGGTGATCGGCCAAATAACTGCAATCGGTGCACCCCTAGTTTATTATATCCTGATGCATGCTCAATAATGCAGGTACAAAGTTGTCATGTTCTCTGGACAGATAAAAAAAAAGAAAGAAAAACTTCTTGAAACGTTTCATCGTAGAATACAGACAAGTTAAACTCAAGTCACAGTGTCAAAAGCTAGGGAATAAAAGTGAGTTTTCAAACGAGACTTAAAAACGGTTACAACGTTTATTATAAATTGTTTATCTATTGTGTTACATTATGTATCTTCTGAATTACGTTTCTTTAATGTGGTTATTATTATAGTAGATGTGTGTGTATATGGGGGGCCTTCAGAGATTTGTGGACTGGTGACAGCACACAGAACGTGCTACTTCCACGTCCAACAGCAGCGAGAAGAACCTTTCAAGATGGCGACTACAAATCCCGCCCACCACCGTAAGCGGCCATTCCAGCGTTTTTCGGATTCAGTGAGGCTGCAGTCCCTTGCTACAAATATGTTTCAAGACTGCGCCATCACTTTTTACAGCCAACTTTGACCTAAAAGGCCTAAATAAAGATGTAAATGAATATAAACACGCACACGTTGTGCACTTTTAGTTTTAAATAATACGCTATATAAACCATCGCGATGGAATCGTGGAATATCACTCCTGCAGGTCGCCTCGTTGTAGCTTTACGTTAGCAGGAGCTAACTTAACGACGGAAACATTCGTCGATGCTATGCTCCGGTCAAACGTTTAAGATACAAAACGTCGTTTAGCACACACACAATTAGTTTATACACATGCTCACCGATATGTTCTGTATCACTAGAACTGCTTCGGGGTTGCTGTTTACGCCGCTGATCAGCTCTGAAAAGTAGCTGCACCTCCGTACAACGAGATCAAAATGGCGACTGAGTCCAAAGAGCAGGAAACGGTCGAACCCGCTGTTCTCAGGTTGCCAAGAGCTGGTGATACGTTATTTATTTACAACTGCGAACATCACACTTCTGTCACTCAAAGAAACATAAAAACTGGTTTATTCTATTTATTGTTTTAATAAAAAAACTATAAAATGTCCAAACTGTGCTATATATACTTAAAATTATTGTACATTGTTGAAATTAGTAAAGAAAGTTATTGGTGATACCTGGCAACCCGTCGTAGCGCATTGTGACGTGTTGCATTTGATAAGTGAGATGTTGCAACGATTCGGGGACTCGTCCGTTTTCCACCCCAGTTGTTTATGAATCATGTTAAAACCACTTTATGACTCTTCCATGTTTACTGCTTTATGTTTTTAACAAAAATTTATGAAAATATAGTCACACAATAAACGGAGGTGACTGGACCAAGGACGCAAGGAGCTCAAAAACAAACATTTTTCTTTTAAACCATAAAACAAAAACAAAAAACTGAGAAAAAAAGCACAGATAATACCATACCGAAAGGAAAATAAATAAATAAATAAACAGTGAACGATCACAAATCAACCAAAAACAAATCCTGTAATTTAGTTCACTAAGTGCAGGAGAAAAAAAGTATCATGGTTGAATTATTAACTTTTAAATATAACATGAGTTAATAAACGCCTTGAAAGAATGTTGGAGGAGTGGTGGAGCAGAGGTTAGAGAGGGTAAGCCTGTGGTCTGAAGGTTGTTGGTTGGACTCCCCGTACCGACAACATCAAAATGTGGGTGGGAAAGATGAAACACCCACACCAAATGATGACATGTAACCAGTAGACAATGCTCATTCTTAGATACAGTTATAAATCAGTCTCCTATTCATTCATTCATGAGTTGTGTCTTGAAATTGGAATATAACAGCATATTTAAGCAAATTGCAAAAAATAGAAAAATAATAAAAGCAAGGTCTCATCTGTGTACCACATTCTTTAAATGACCTTTCAGGGCACATACCTGTGGTTTATGTGTTTTTTTTTTTTTTTTTAAGTGAGTCATTTTGATGAACTTTTGAGTTTATATTTCCTGTTTTAGATTTTATTTGAAGAGCAAATTAGTGATGATGGCCATTACATTGCAAAGCACTTAAACTGGCATGTAGTATTAATTTTATAGAGATGGCATCTAACTTAAGTTGTGAGGAACTACAAACTATTACTTCTCTATTACCATATGTAAGCGCAAACATTACTACTTTTACTATTTATTTTTTATTGATTGAATGATTTCCTTACAGACAAAAGCACAGTCTTCACATGTGAAAATCATGTTTTCATGTGTAATTTCATATTAAATTAACAGGTGATACACGTGAAACATGTTTTAGCACATTTCCAGTGTGAATCTGAATCATAATGAACATGTTCTCATGATCTTATAAGATAAATCAGTTTTGCACATAAAATCAAGAGTAAAAAAACCTTAAGAGGTTTTTCTTTAACTGTTTATCATTGCCTGCCGCAAAAAGGCCAAAGGTGTGTGCGGCAATGTTTTTGCATGTTTGTGTGTGTGCATGTGGTAGTCTGACTGCCTTGTTAGCAAAATATCTCATGAACAAATGGACAAATTTAAACAAAACTCAAAAAAAGCAATTATTGGGTACATTAACAACTAAACTTGTGATGCTAACCAAAGTCAATATGGCCACCGTAGCTAATGGCAGCAAACACAACAGACTGTGACAGTTTTACAGACACCGAGGTAAACTTTGGTGAGGTAGTAGCTGAGAGTCACCCCCAACATGCGCTCTGAGTGCTACCAGACCACGTGAGATCTAAACAGTGCCAATAAGCAACAAAGTTGTCCACATGTTAGCAAAATATTTCACAACAGACGGATTTCAATGAAACTTTCAGAAAGGCGTTATTGCATAAATAACTGATTCAAGATGGCTGCCACAGCTAATCAACCTTAGCAAATTCAAAATGTAGTTTTTATTAATGTCGCCTCCACAAGTATGGATGGAATGTGACAAAATTAAATAAATACATAATAATGAAATGTATAATTTAATTATTAAATACATAATTAAATCATTAAATACACAATTAAATTATTAAATGCTCCATTAAATAATGAAATGTACCTTTTAAATTTCATGATTTATTTATTTCATTAATTTTGTCACCTTCTACCCTCCAGTGACATCATGAAATTGTAAAAACTGTCAGTCGCACTCGTCAAACTCAGTGGGCGGGACTAGGGCGGGTCGTGCACAGATCCTGATGCCTGATTGGCTGCTCCTCACAGCAAGAGAAAACAAATCAACCGAAGATAATGGATTGATTCATAGGCAAGAAAATATATTCCAAAACTTTAGGAAGTAGTAATTGTGTTTACGTGTGGATGAAACCTTTTTTCATACAATGAATGTAATGAAGAAGACGTGCTTTTACGAGAAGCAGCAAATTTAAACAAAATTTAAATATAAAATGCTTCCAATGTCCAAAAATAAAATCAATGAAAGACTGGTTCTTTAACCTCTGCAGGATCCTCCGTGGTGCCTTGCTCTCTGTATCTTGTCCAGAATTATAATGGTGACCGATTCCTTTCAGTTCGAAGACAATGGGAGTTCCAACCATTTTGAAAGACTCCAGACTTTGTTGCATTTGTGAACGAAAGCCGTGGTGTAGAGCATAAAGATGGACGTGTTTATCATCTGGATCGAATGTTCTCTATTTTCCAGTGAAGAGAAAACCTGATAGAACAGGTGTAAGGCATGCTTGGAAACCTCTCTCCACACCCTCTCTATTCTGTGATAAAAATTAAGTTGACATACATGTTTCATGTTATGTATATCTTAAAGATGAGTGCACTTGTCAAACAGGTGTTATACTTACCCGGACACCCGGAGGAGCAGATGGTGGGGGTTAAGGGCCTTGATCAAGGACCCGCCCAGAGTGGGATGAATGAGGGTACCCCTCCCACATTTTTGATGTTATCGGTACCGGGGCTTGAAATGGCGTTCTTCCGATCACAGGCCCACCATCCCTAACCTCTGCGCCACCACTCCCCTACACATATATACACACATACATATATACATATATACACA